CTTCGCCGAGTGGAGGAGCCTCAGCCCGCAGCTCCGTCCCTGCCTGTCCCCATTGCTCTCCCTCTTACGTAAACCCCCAGGAAGAAGAAGAGGAAACACGGATCCACGTCACATCACGGAGCCTCCTGATTGGGCGTCCCCGGCCGGGTCCCCTGGGGCACACGCCAGCCCCGGGCCACCCTGTCCCCTGTCCAGCCCCCCGCCTCCCCCACCGGCCTGCCATGGTGACCACACTCAGCTCCCTGCGTCCAGCCCCAGCCTCCCCCACCGGCCTGCCACGGTGACCACACTCAGCTCCCTGCATTCCTTCTCTTGAAAGGCATTTCTTCATCGAGTGCCAACCCTGGCTCCTGTGCGGACACGGCGGCCGGCGAGACAGTGAAGCTGGCCGAGAGTCTGGTGGGACGACCCTGGGGGTTGTTGCCTGCCGCGGGCACAGCTCCAGAGTCCTGACCTATGTCTGAGGGGCAGACGACATCCCAATTGGACATGAAAGTTCAGCCTCAGGCTGAGGACGGGGTGGAGCTAACACCCTCCAGGGCCGACCCCGAGACTCAGCCCTGAGATGCTCTCAACACCCTGGATACCCCAGAGCCGCAGATTGCATGGCTCGGGCTCCTGAGGCCACCCTGCTCCCCAGAAGAACCTGGTCGTCTTCCCCGTGCCCTGCAGCAGGAACACACGGTCAGTGCCAACCCCCAGGGCATGGCTGGGAGCTGCGGGAGTGAACAGGGGAGCTCCTGCCTGTGACATCTGCCCTGTGGCTGTCACTCCCTCGCCTGCTCCCAGCTCGTGTCTGACAGGTCCCCACCCTGTGCCCTGCACCATCCCACCCTCGAGGCCACACCCTCTCTGTGCCACCCAGGCTGCTCCTGGTCACAGCTTGCATTTAGGCTGCAACCTCTGACCTCAGGCCCCTGGGTCTTCCTCTGCATTGGGCGTTCCCAGGCCCCAGGCTGGAGGAGGTTCTGGAAGGTATGGCCTAGCCCCAGGAGTGGGGAGGTAAGGGGCCTGGGCTGCTCAGCTGACCTTGCGGCCTTGCCCACCTGGAACCCGGCCGCTGCTGCCTCCCTGGGTTCACTCTGTTCCACCACACGGGCCTTCTTGCTGCCCCTGGAATGTTCCGGGAGCTCCTCCGCTGAGGCCCCAGCTATTCCCTCAGCCTGGAGGCTCCTCCTGCAGGTCCTGGAGGTGGCTCTGTGGCCCGCCGTGGCTACCCAGCAGGACCTAAGGTCTGAGGCCCACTGTGACCGCTGCAGGTGACATGTGATGTGAGGTGCAGGAGCCAGGAGAAGGGCAAGCAAAGCCTGCCTCCCTCTGAACCCTCCTCCCTGTTCTCAGCTCGTCTAGAAGAGGAGGGAAGGCTCAGCGTGCGGCCGCCTGGCGGGAATCAGCACAGACCTGCCAAGCACCCACAAAGCACTGACCTTTCCTTTAACCTCCCGCGTGCCTGGGCGCGTCCTGCTAAAACGAAATGACGTGTGGCAGACCAGTGGGGAAGGGCAGATGTGAACCCGGGACAGTGAACCACCAGCATGTCCAGCTGCGGGGCTGGGACCACTTCAGGACGTGATCAGATCAAGGGCAGGCAGGAGGGCCGGCCCCGCAGCCACAGTCTGACCACAGAGCGACACCGTGAGCTGGAGTGACCACTGGGGAGGGACGGAGCCTGGAACCATCAGGGCGCGCCTGGCTTCCCCCAACCCTGTGTGGGCAGCTGCTGGTGTTCTGCCAGCCCCCACCCGGGCTCCCCCGGGCTCTACCCATCACCCCGACAGATGGACTGAGTCAGGGGACTCCCAGTGAGAGTCAGCACCCTGCTGCTGGCAGGTCACACACCTCATCCATCACACGGGACCGCTGGCAGGGTCTCAGGAACCCCGACACCTTCTGAGGCCTCTCGCGGTCAGCACCTCCCCAGCCAGGGCCTCCAGTTCCCCGAGCGGGTGTCACCAGGCTGCTCCCCCTGGAAGAGAGGCATCTCCTGATGGCTGCAGAAGGGGCCCCTCTCCTGGGCTCACGGCTCTGTGAGCCTCCCTGCTCGGGCTCATGCAGGGCACCTGGCCTCCTGGAGCTGGGGGCAGAGGCTGAGCCTGTCCTGTAGCTCTTGCTGGCCCTGCACATGCAGAGATGTGCAGACAACAGGCTCAGCTTCGCACGTCCATACCTAAGCTTCCTGAGCAGGATGTGAGGGCTCAGTGAACCCTCAGATTAAAACATCAGAGCCAGTGCCAGAGCCAAAGCCCCATCCCCAGAGCAGGTTAAATGTCACGGTACAGCCATGTGCGGTGGCCGGGCCTGGGTGCTGGGCTGTGACGTCATGTGCCTGCCTGGGTGTGTGCATGAGCACAGGTGGACTTCCAGTGTGTGCGGAGTCACATGCGGGTGTGCCTAGGTGTGCATCTGCCTGTGAGTATGTGGGAGAGCATGCCACCCGTGTGTGTGGGCCATCTACCAGGTGCATACACACCACGAGCCAGTGTGAGCGTGCAGGGCTGCGTGTGTGCCCAGGAGCCTCCAGGAATGTGCAGGAATGCGAGTGTGTCTAGGCGTGTGTGTCCGCGTGCACCTGTTTATGTGACTGTGCTGCACTAGGTGCTGGTGGGTGGGAACCCAAAACCTGCAACAGCCCTGCCTGGCAATGTTCGCCCATTTCTGTGGTGTAAACTCTCCCATCAACTTCAAGCTACGACGTGATGTCACTTAATTATGGTGTTATGTCACTGAATTATGATGTAATGTCACTCAATCATGGTGTGATGTCAATCATGGTGTGACGTCACTGAATTGTGATGTGATGTCACTCAATCATGGTGTGATGTCACTGAATTATGATGTGATGTCACTCAATCGTGGTGTGATGTCACTGAATTATGATGTAATGTCACTCAATCATGGTGTGATGTCACTCAATCATGGTGTAGTGTCACTGAATTATGATGTAATGTCACTTAATCATGGTGTGATGTCACTCAATCATGGTGTGATGTCACTGAATTACGATGTGATGTCACTCAATCATGGTGTGGTGTCACTGAATTATGATGCAATGTCACTCAATCATGGTGTGATGGCACTCAATCATGGTGTGATGTCACTGAATTATGATGCAATGTCACTCAATCATGGTGTGATGGCACTCAATCATGGTGTGATGTCACTGAATTATGATGTGATGTCACTCGATTAAGATGTGATGTCACCCAATTATGATATAATGTCACTCACTTTGGAGTGGGGAAGAGGGGAGCCCTGTTGGCTCCACATCTGGTTTAGGCGGATCCAGCACCACTGGCCATGTGCACCTGCCTGCACACATGTGTGACAGCATGAGTGTGATTGTCTTTTTTTTTTTTTTGAGACAGTCTCGCTCTGTCGCCCAGGCTGGAGTGCAGTGGCCAGATCTCAGCTCACTGCAAGCTCTGCCTCCCGGGTTTACGCCATTCTCTGCCTCAGCCTCCCAAGTAGCTGGGACTACAGGCGCCCACCACCTCGCCTGGCTAGTTTTTTGTTTGTTTGTTGTTTTGTTGTTGTTGTGTGTTGTTTTTTTTTTGGAGAGGCAGTCTCACTCTGTCACCCAGGCTGGAGTGCAGTGGCCGGATCTCGGCTCACTGCAAGCTCTGCCTCCCAGGTTCATGCCATTCTCCTGCCTTAGCTTCCCAAGTAGCTGGGACTACAGGCCCTGCCACTCGCCCAGCTAGTTTTTTTGTATTTTTAGTAGAGACAGGGTTTCACCGTGTTAGCCAGATGTCTCGATCTCCTGACCTCGTGATCCGCCCGTCTCGGCCTCCCAAAGTGCTGGGATTACAGGCGTGAGCCACCGTGCCTGGCCAAGTGTGATTGTCTTGCCTTGAGTCCCTGCATGGCTCTGTGTGTCACTGTGGGCCTGGTGTGTGCGTCTCTGTGTGTGCCACACTCAGAGCTGGTCCCCCTCAGCTCCGTTGAGCCTCAGTGTCAGCCCCCAGGTGAGCCCTGGGGACCAGCGAATGGGTTCCTCCTTCTGGGAACTACCTGGTCACCCCACCCTGCTCCTCTACACAGCCATGGCAGCCAGCATCATTGCAGAGCCAGGGTCCCATGGCCCGCCTTGCAGACCCTCCCAGTGGCTGACAGTTAAGATCAGAGGGAGGCAGGCAGGTGGGTGAGGCAGGGCACCCAGGTCAGCCCCGATAGCCGGCCTCGTTGGCAGGCACCTTCCTATCTTCCGCCGGAAGCGGGCCAGGCTCAGCAAGAGAATTCTCGGGCAATCGTGGGGGCCCGGCTGCCTCAGCCCTTGGCTACACCGACAGCACTTTCCCAGCCATGCCCAGTGATGCTGGGGGCAGCCCTCTAGAGCCTTGGGTTTGCAGTGGCACCCCCGAACACCTTGGATTCCACCCCATGAAGACAGCCTGTGCCTCAGAGCGGCCACCACTCCTGCCTTAATTTGCTCAGGACCTGGGACCAACAGCAAGGTCAGGACGTCCTCACGGGCCTGTGGGGCCAGCCCGCCCTGGGTTGTCCGCTCTTGCTACCTTCCTGCAGGACTGGGATTGGCTGTCCCACCTCACGCAGGCCCAGGGGGCAGAAGTCCCTTGTCCAAGGTCGTGCACCAAGGCCTGGATTCTCATCTCGGGTTCCCTCCACCAACCCCGGCTGTCCTCGAGGTCACCAGCCCCAGCGCCCACAGAGCACTCAGCAGTGCCAGCCTGAGAGAGAGTGGGCAAAGCCAGGTGGACGCTGGAGTCCCTGTCCTCCTTCCTGTCCTCCTCTTCCTCCCAAGTGAACGCGGGAGCCCCTGCCCTCCTCCCTGTCCTCCTCCTCCCAAGTGGACATGGGAGCCCCTGTCCTCCTTCCTACCCTCCTCCCAGGTGGACATGTGAGCCCCTGCCCTCCTCCCTGTCCTCCTCCTCCCAAGTGGACACGGGAGCCCCTGTCCTTCCTGTCCTCCTCTCCTCTCCTTGAGACATCTGCAGGACAGGTGCAGGGTGGAGGGAGGGTGCCCGCCAGGCCACTTGCTCAGCCTTGAGCTGGGGTATGAGCGGGGCATTAATGACAGGCAGAGAGGCGTGTGCCCAGCAGGGCTCTGCTGAGTCAGGATGGGAGAGGAGGGGAGGGGCCGAGCTCCTTCCACCCTGGGACACCTCCCACCACCTCCTCCTGGACAGCTGCAGGACCTGGGCCTCTGGGAGCCTCCTTAGCGGGAGCCCAGGCCAGTCTGAGATGGTGCAGTCTGTGCTGGGCTCTCCTGCCCCACCAGCCCTTCCTGTCTGTCTCCTTCACCAGGGCCTGGAGCCTCAAGCTTGGGCTCAGTGGCCATTGGCAACCCAAGCTGCCACCAAGCCCGAGCTCTTCCAGTTCCACACACAGCAGAGGTGCTCACGCCAGTTTCCCTGAACAGTGCAGACGCTGCTATAAGGAAACACTGAGGGATCGAGAGCTGCTGGTTTTCTCCTCAGTTAACCAGCGAGCCACTCGGTACAGGCAGCAGGAGGGTCCCCACTGCCAGGCGGGATGACAGGAGAGCCCAGTTAGCTTTAACCCTGGCTAACCACTGCCAGAGAGGTGCCAGGGCTGGGCTGGCCTGACTTGGGGGGTAGGGAAAGACTGTTGTGTCCGGCGTCACCCCAGAGATGACCTGGACTGTCAAGGCTGTACACCGATGGGGGTAGCCCCTCCCTGCCCCTGGGACCCAGGCCTTTGGCAAAGGTGGCCAAACCTTGCCTCCAGCCTCAGCTTCCCTGGGCAGCTCGGCCTCCACAGCAGGGAGACCATGGGAGAGTGGCCAAGGGGGTGCTGTTAGGGTGGTGGCAGGATGGTGGATACAGGTCCCACCCTTGACCTTCTGCCCTTCGGTGGATGGATGAAGAAAGCTTGGCACACCCACGATGGAGTACTATGCAGCCCTCAAAAAGGAGCAACGCCATGGGTGAGCCTGGAGGACGTCATGCAAGTAAAATCAGCTGGGTGTGGAGACACACACTACCCATCTTACAAATGTGTGGAATCTAAAAATGCCAATCCCCCGTAGAAGCTAAGAGTAAAGTGGTTGTTGCCTGGGGCTTGGGGTTAACCATTAGGATTGAGGAGATAAAAGAAAATAAATAAAATAAAATTTGTAAGGAAAGGCGAACGACCTAGAATACTTAAGACAATCACTGGGCGCAGTGGCTCATGCCTGTAATCCCAGCACTTTGGGAGGCCGAGGTGGGCGGATCACGAGGTCAGGAAATCGAGACCATCCTGGCCAACATGGTGAAACCCTGTCTCTACTAAGAATACAAAAATTAGCCGGGCGTGGTGGCATATGCCTATAGTCCCAGCTACTCAGGAGGGTGAGGCAGGAGAATCGCTTGAACCCAGGAGGCAGAGGTTGCGGTGAGCCAAGATCGCACCACTGCACCCCAGCCTGGGTGACAGAGCAAGACTCCATCTCAGAAGAAAAAACAAAACAAAAAAACAATCTCGGCCGGGCGCTGTTGCTCACGCCTGTAATCCTAGCACTGTGGGAGGCTGAGGCGGGTGGATCACCTGAAGTCAGTGGTTCAAGACCAGCCTGGCCAACATGGCGAAACCCCGTTCCTTCTGAAAAATACAAAAATTAGGCCAGGCTCGGTGGCTCATGCCTGTAATCCCAACACTTTGGGAGGCTGAGGCAGGTGGATCACGAGGTCAGGAGATTGAGACCAGCCTGCCCAACATAGTGAAACCCCATCTCTACTAAAAATACAAAAATTAGCCAAGCATGGTGGTTGTGCCTGTAATCCCAGCTACTCGGGAGACTGAGGCAGGAGAATCACTTGAACCTGGGAGGCAGAGATTGTAGCGAGCCGAGATCGTGCCACCGCACTCCAGCCTGGGTGACAGAGCGGGACTCCACCTCAAACAAACAAACGAAACCAAATCCTGAAACAAGGGAGGAAAAAGTGGAGGCGTCACTCTAGCTGGCGTGGGTATTAAAGCCTCATCCATCGTGACAGTATTGAGAAAGTGACGTGTGTGCAGCAGGGTAGACTCCCGAACCAACGGAACAGAACAGAAAACCCAGAAAGTGACCGCCACAAACATGCCCACCTGATTTTTGACAAAGGCATACAAACAATTCAGTGGAGGAAGAGCAGCTTTTCAACAAACGATGCTGGAAGAATCAGACATCTATCGGCCAAAAAAAAAAAAAAAAAAGGAACTTTGACCTAAGTCTCATAACTTAAACAAAAATTAACTCAGAACGTACCCAGAGTAGGCAAACCCATAGGGACAGAAAGCAGATCTGAGGCTGCCGGGGGAAAATCCGTGTATGTTTTTTGCTCTTGCCGGTGACATGTGTGCTCCCGTCATCTTAGGGCGACGATTGTTTGGTGTTGCTCTGTGTTTGCTGTTTTCTAACCCTTGGTAGGTGTGGCACATGTCACGCCATTTTTCACTAGTAGCTAGAGAGAGATTCATCCTGTTTTAATTTTCTAGTACTTGCCTTATTTTTCTCTGACCACGTGTGTGAGGAACCATTTCCCTGCGTGTGAGGACTTAGCCTGCCTCTGCCTCCCCTGTCACTGCCCTCCCAGGGATACTTATTTTTGTTGGCATGTGGAGAAAATGAAGACTCGTCACTGGGTGCAGTGGTGCACGGTTGTGAGACGGCAAGGCAGGAGGATTGCTTGAGCCCAGGAGTTTGAGACCAGCCTGGGCAATATGGTGAGACCCCATCTCTACTAAAAATACAAAAAAAAAAAAAAAAAAATAGCCAGGCATGGTGGTGCACGTCAGTAGTTCCAGCAATGCGGGAGACTGAGGCGTGAGAATCACTGGAGCCCAGGAGGTAGAGGCTGCAGTGAGCCGAGATCGCACCACCGCATTCCAGCCTGGGAGACAGAGCAAGACCCTGTCTCAAAAAAAGAAAATGAAGACTCAGCTGATGGATGTGATTTTGGTTTGCATGTGAAGTTTTCTTTTGGAATTCTTGGTGGGACTTGCACCCTGTTCCTTAACCATGTCACAGTGATTACTGGGATTTGGGATCTTAGCCCGGCCGTCACACGGATTCTTTCCTGCTCCCTCCTGTGATTTTTTATTTTATTTTATTTTATTTTATTTTTATTTATTTATTTTTTTGAGACGGAGTCTCGCTGTCGCCCAGGCTGGAGTG